TGACCTAATTCCGTTATTTATTTATTCATTATCATGAACTACGTCGCTATTTAATTGCCAGCGTTGACGACTTTAAGCCCCCTGCAAACCATCATTTGTGGAAAAATTAATTGGTGGAATAATGTTATTTTAAAAAATGAGTGGTTGAAAAAGAATGAAAAGTTTTCGATTTACGTGTAATATTATTTTATAAAAGATTATGTGGTTGAAAATAGGAGAAAGAAAAATAAAATATAATGAAATGAAAATTAATGGAGGCCAAACGGGGCTAAATTGTCTAGCCACATATCCATTCAAATACATCTGACAACTGTGAAATAAAAATTATAATTAACAATCAAATTTATAATACTTATTACCTTATATTCTGAAATATTGTGTCAAATATATATGTCTTTCCCACCGATACTAATGCTCCGTTTGGAAGGGATTTTGAGAATTCATTTTTTGACCGTTAGAAGAAAAGTGAGGTTCACCTGTGAGAGAAGAAGTCAAAAATTATGGCTGAAATAGTAAAATAACGGTCAAAAAATCAATTTTTTGGGGCAAAAAATCCCTCTCAAACAAGCTATAAATAATTTGAATTCAAATTAATTCATAGCTTACTATGTATAAAAAAATTTCATTGTTAGTATCGAAATCTAAACTTCAAAAATCTGAAAAACTATTACAGTAATCATCATTACGATTTGTCTTTATCTTACCTAATTATTTTTCTTTCTGAATATTAATGATATAATTAATTAATCCATTTGAAATACAGATTTTGTTATCTCTTTCTCTCTTCCTATATGTGTCTTTGCCAACACTCTTTCAACATCGGTTTTGTTAAATGTTACATGCTTTGCTGGTTTTCGAGTATGGTTTTTGAGAGTCCACTCTTTTCCTGGTTTATACAGGTAAATGGTAATCAATCTTTTCTACAGAAAGTGTAAATTTTTTATAGAGATTTTAGATAAATATATATACATTTTTTATTTGCTTTCATATATATATATATATATATATATATATTGAAAATGTATAAATGTGTGATATGAAAAACTAAAAGAAGAATTATTTTTTTGCACTTTTAAATTAGCTATAAAGATAATAGTCGTTGAAAAAATTTTATTTTACAAGGAAATTTTTGTCGCAATTAACGTGTTTTTTATGGAAGTCGTAAAACTCGATCAAGATTATAACCATACGCAAAAGATTATTTTAGTACCTTCAGATTTATTTCTTTATGATTATGATTATTATTATTTTTACTAAACTCTCCTATTTATTGCACCAGATTCAGTATCTTGTTCGAGACAAATATTATTAAATATTTTTGTAACGTAACCTGAACTTGGAGCTACGCCAAGGGGATTGAATCATCTAGCTCGACAGAAAAATGGTATGTATATTTTAGAATCGATCTCTCGTGCTCAATGAATATGATAAAAATCTTTTATTGTTAACGCGATAAGAGACTTTAGTTATAATCATATCAGCGATTTCCCACATGTTCATTATCACTTGTTTCATTTGAATTATTGACTCTATAACTGCCTTCGAAAACAATGTTTAATAATAAAAGGTCTTTTTGGTTAAACTTATGTTGTCATTAATAAAATAAAGTAGTTCATGGTCGAACAAATAAAGTGTTGAAACCTACAACTATACTATTTGTTATTTGAATCCATTTTGTTTGTTATAAAATAAAATAATTTTGGACTTCTCGATTGATTTCGCAAATGTTCGCATGATGCCTCTTACTCCTTATCAACTTAGTTTCATTTTTCTCTTTCCGTTATGCTCACATTTTATTTATGATTTTTTTTTTAAAATTCTTACACATAAGTGAACATTTGGATTACATTGGGTTGTAAATGTTTTTAACTTTAAATAAATTTTATAAATTATATATATGGGCTTGTTTGAGCCACATTATTTAAAAAAAAAAAATATTTTTCAACAGTGATTTGATATCTTTTCAACCACACATTCTTCAATAAAATAATATTACACGTAAATTTAAAAATTTTCCTTATTTTTTAACCACACATTTCCCTTCATTGTCACTCAATTAAGGTACATATCCGTTGCTTTAAATTCTATATAATTTAGGTGTCAATACTCAGTCGAACATAATTCAGACAGTACGGAGTTTGTTTGGCTGTACTTGGCCTAGACCTTGTCAAGTTTAGGTAGTTAGGCATCTTGAAACCTTTTGTAGTTAGGCATTTTGAAACCTTTAATGTAATCTCTCCTTTCTCCATCCAACACACCGCCCAAAGGTCAATCCATACTGGCACTGTATCGTGTGAGAGACTCAGAGACACATGACTTATTAATGAATTTTAATCACTTATCCCTAATTCCCTAAACCTAGATTCTCAAATTACAAGTCAAAAATCATAGATGATCAATTATAACTCATAACTCATACGACATAAATTATTTATCATAAATCACAAATTCACAATTCTCATTTCTTTGTCAATTAAATTAACTCACAAATAAAACCCTAAACCAAATTATGTGATTATGTGATTATGTGAACTGTGAAGTGTGATTGTGTGAATACAGATGACTAGTAGCCACATAACACATAACAAAAACAAAAATAAAATAAATAAATAAAAACAGAGAATGATAGGGAAAAGGGCGCTCACCAAGAAGTCGTATCATAACAGTCAACAGCCACCTACAAGAGGTCCAAGGTCCGACCTCGTCGCTTACAACTCACTCGACACTCGCTCATCATCGTCACAGACTCCTAGTGACAGTCCGTGACATGCGTATTGCTTATGCACGTCAATTGTCTACTTTGCCACTTCAATTTTGGATTGGTATGGTCTATTTTGGTGGATTTGCAAGAGTTTGGGCCTTTTTTTTTGGGGGAAAATTACATAAAACCAGGTACTTAAAGTTTCAAATTCAAAGTTGAGGGGACAAGTTTATTTGTGCAAAAATCAGGTACTATAACTAATTATTCGCCCAATTAAATTAAAAATCCTAATCATTTCTCCCAAATTTCAAACCCGATTCCATCTCCTCCTTCTCTTCTCTTGATGTTGACGACCCATTCAACCACTCCATAGGGGATGAAGGAGATGCGCCGGTGCTGGAACAGCACCCGCCTTCTCTTTAGTGTTTGTTTTGTGAGCCCCGAAGCCATGGTTTTAGGGTGTTGTTCAGACAATTTGAACAACATTGCAGCAGCGCCTTTACGTCAACACTAGGCGATGCTGGCATAGGCACTGGAGCTGTTGAAGACAAAGGCTAGCCTCCGTTGGCTGGGTTGAATGTGCATCGAATTCAAATCCTTTTTCTCTCTGTTTCAATAGAAATTACGCATTAAATTTGGCATTTTTAACTTGCGCAAGATTCTAGTCATTTGATATATAGTGTACCTGTAAATCATAGAGTGAATTTGCTAAATTGCAGTTGCTCATCTTTGAAGCGAGTGATAGGGTTGCAACTACTATAATGTAAGCAATCTAAGGCTTTTTTTCCTGAATTAGTATCAATTTTAATACATTGCTCACTAATACAAAATCAAATAATAGTATGAATATTTACTATAATTTTTTGTTGTGCGGTGGTGCAGTGTGGTGCGGTGCAGTCGTTTGTTGTGTTTTGGTGGTCGTTTGTGTTGTTGGTGGTGGTAGTGTTGTGGCGGAGGCGAGGTGTAATAGTGATCGTGACTAACTATTTGGTTGTTCTGTGACCAAGTATTGGTAGTGAATTGGGATCGACAATGGAGTGTTTAGTATATGTGACCACCAATTTGGTCTGTGACATGAAAATTTGATAATCTGTGACCTTAACGATTTGGTTCGTAACCTTAAAATTTGATAACATGTGAATAAAACATAACATGCGACCTATAAAACTTTTGATCTGTGACCTATTAAAATTTTGATTTGTGACGTCGAAAAAATTCGTGACCAATTAATTTGATTATATGTTATCAGTAAATAAATTTGTGACCTATAACTATGAATATGTGACCATTAATTGTGTAACTGTGACTTTATTTTCATTATTTAATAAATATTTTTAATTAATTAGTTAAAACTTGATTTTTGCATTAATGAAACTTATAACTTGAATTTTGAATTAGGCATAGTTAAAACTTGATTTGTGAACTCTTCTTCCTCTTTTTTTGTTTTTGTTTTTCTTTTTTTTTTTTAAATAAGGCCCAAAAAATGGAAAACAAAAAAAAAAAAAGGCCCAAATCCAATCCAAACCAGCAAGCAGTGCATTAATCTTCTTCAGACTTCTTCCTCTCCTTTCTTCCCGACAGACGACTGCTGCTATTAAAAGTTTCGACGGAGCCAGCATGGGTGGCCGCGCCAGCTTGTCAAATGCTGGCTCCACCACTGAGTACCGATGACATGACATGCCATTTAATTGGTAAATAAATAAGTGACAGATCCTATATCTTTAATGATTCTCCAATTAAATGATATATCATATCACCAATATATATATATATATATTGAACATCTCCAACATGTTTCAAGCATGGTAGAATTTTCTCGATAAAAACAATCTACGATTTTTAATGAATAACAACCAAACAATTTATAGAATTTGCACTTTGATGGATAATTTTGATATTTATTTATCAATTTTGCTACAAGTACAGAACAAATTGATAGAAATTTTACTGAGAAACACTTGACAGATTTTCGTTGATTTTTGACGCAACAAACACAAAAACTACACTATACAGATACTACCAACTGAGCACCCGTATCATTTTTGTCCCTTATAAATTCACGTACAAGAATTTTTTTAATGAATGAAGATACAAGTAAATAAATAAAGGAAAAGCATGCGGCGCATTCAGAGACTAGAAATTGTTTCCCCTTGCATTTTGTAACCGGTATCTGGAAACTCCAGATTTTATCGGCACATGTTTGTTCTGCAATGTATAGTGCTCTTTAATTCTTGTTTGCATATGCGCAGACCTAAAGCAAAATCTCGTTAGACCACTTATGGCTGTGAATTCGCAAAATATATAGTTGTTTGCATTCTATAACAAGAACTTCAAAATCTTATTGTTGCGAAATTGTAATCTAACATTCTCTACATTTAGCAGAGTAAATTTCTACCGAAGGACTATGATGCAGCAACCAGGGAATTCTACTCAAGTGTTGGAAAGCGGACAAGATCAAAGAGGAAGATCTACTTTGGGATGGCAAAGGGGAGTTCTTGTAGTTCCGGGGATGTGGAGGAAATTGGCACAGTGCAGGGTAATTCTGCACAACGTCGCCATCGAAGAACGAAGAAAATGACTTTGGGTACCTTTTAAAGACATTTGAATGACTTGGATTGCAACTAGATTAAATACAGGATGCCCCTTACAGATCTTTTTCAGTTTTGGCAATGTCTGCTTTCGTAGCTTTTCTAATTTAATTTGTTCAAAAGAAAATCATATAAGCTTTGATTTTATGCAAACTGGACAAGAGAACTGAATTTTTCTGGTTATATTGCTTCTTCGTGACATGTTAACTGGTGCAGTTTCTTATGGAATCTCCGTTTCCAATGTGAGAAGATTTAGTAAATGAAAGTTGTATATGATAAAGCATATTTTAGAACCTTATAACACGAGGATTTTGCGAGCACAGGAAACTAAAAATGAAAGAGTGCTTTATCGTCAATTCCGAACTTTTCTTTACTTTTCAACTTTCTGATCTCTAGTCCATGAGGAAGTAGTCGCTTAGAAAAAATAAATGGTAATGTTATGTTCGATAGTGTCAGGATCACATTTCTTTGATAATTAATTCATTGAGTAGATTAAATATACTTTTATGTCTCTGAACAGGGAACAGAAACAAAGATATGAATTCCAAGGAATTTGAGATTGAGAAAATTGACAAAGCTGAGTTCAGAAATAAAATTTTGCACTCTGCATTCAATGAAGGGTCCTCGAGACGCTTGTACAAGGAGAGCTTGCTCGTAGAAAAAGGTGATACTTTTAAATATCTCATTTATCTGGTCATTGTTGTTTGAAACTTGAATTTTGCACAATATCACTAGTAATTTTGGTCTCATCAAGGTTTTAGTCAAGATCACATATTCATGATAGTGATATTTCATTTTAAGAATTTGAAGCTTGTCATAATTATTAGAATCAGTCCATTATTTCCTCATGATTATTTTACCACAAATTGCCAACATATTTTAGTTGCGAATGCCAAACTGAGAGGATTTAGTAACTGAAAGTTCTCTAGAAAAGAGGCCAGGGCATATAAACTTGTATGTGTTAAGGATTTTTGGCAACAAAACATGTTTCTTGAAGAGAGCACCTCTGTCCTAACCATGAAATATATGTGAGGTTAATCCCAGTGAATTTCCATTTATTGATCCTATCTTTTAAAGAATCGACCCCCCCATTTTTTACTGCACATGAATATGTGGAGCTCAACATGTCTCGAAGTATGGGAAAACCTATTTTTTCTTATGTTATTATATGTATGCGATATTGGGTCATTCATAACAAACTAAACCTTCCCTGTTTACTCAACAAATTTTGGGGGTTATTCACCAGCATGGGATTTGCGTCCTCTTCTTATATAGGTTTGGAAGCTCTAGGCCAAACGAGTATTTAACGGAGAGCAAACATATTGATGATGCAGCAATAGCTAAGAAGCAATGACTTTTATTCACAGTGATAACTTGAATATTTCTGAGTGGATAGCTTTTAGGTAGCACAGGATCCAGGATTTGCACCTTAGGGGAGCAACATAGGTTAAGCACATATTTGATAGGGTCATCTTGAATTTTGAGAAATTTTTAGGGGTGCGAAAACCTTATTTTCTTAAGGCTTTTTCTTAGAACTTTGCATCTCATGGCATCACTGCTTCATCCTAATATTCCTTCATTTCAAAGGATGTTGTTGGGAAAAACAACCTCCCAAGATTGCCCAAGAAATAAAGCTTGACAATGTGAAAAAAAAATTCCAAACCACTTCAAGAACAAGAAAATGGGGAAGAAATGATTTTCAATGTATATTGGAAGAACAATGTATTGGATTACTTGAACAAGCCTCAAGTTAATCCCAAAGAAAGAAAAAATGACTTTGAATTTATACCCAAGAAGAACACGCTCTTACTTGTAAAATTCTATCCAAGCCCTCTCTATTTTTCTCTCTCAAAAGCGTGTGTAAAATGAAGGGGAAAACACCAGCTATAAATAGCTGAGTCGGGCGCCATGGCGCCCATGAGTGGCGCCAAGATCGTTCAAAACCTTGGGCGCCATGGCGCCTGCATCACTGGACCATTTTTTCTCAATTTGGGCGCCATGGCGCCTGACTCCCTACACCTCTTTTTCACAATTCTCCACCTCGTACATCATTTGATAGACCTTAAAATTTGGACGAATACAAGAAGAAGCAGCAAGCGCTAAACTCGGCTGCACCATTCAAACCATGGTTGCCTACATACCCAAAACTCGGGATCAAGCCTCCGTAGTTCACCTCCACCTTCATATACTCTTCACCTCATTTCAACCCCGCCCCGAAGGGCCATGCCCACTCGGGCATATCAACACGGACTAATGTGAAGCAAGTCCTAACAATGTTGAAACTTGCTACCCGTTACCACTTTGGTTAACATGTCAGCTGGGTTCTCATTTGTGTGTACCTTCGAGAGTGAAATATCACCTTCCTCTATGACATCACGCACAAAATGATACCTAACGTCGATATGCTTGGTTCGAGCATGATGAACCTGATTCTTAGCCAAGTGAATCGCACTCTGGCTATCACACCACAAGTCCACACAATCCTGCTCAATCCCCAAATCATCTAGAAGACCCCATAACCACAATGCTTCCTTCACTCCCTCTGCCATGGCCATATACTCAGCCTCTGTAGTAGAAAGAGCAACTGTAGCCTGTAACATCGATCACCAACTAACTGGGGCACCATGTATGCAAAACACATATCCAGTAGTAGATCGTCGTCTATCTAGGTCACCTGCATAATCCGAGTCCACAAACCCACTTATATGACATGCATCTCCACCAAAACATAAACCAGTATCCGCGGTACCTTTTAAGTACCTCAGGATCCACTTCACAGCTTCCCAGTGTGCCTTCTCCGGATTCGCCATAAATCTACTGACCACACTAACCGCCTATGAAATATCTGGGCGTGTATACACCATGGCATACATCAAACTGCCAACTACACTAGCATAAGGTACACGATCCATGCGTACCTTTTCTTCCACTGTAGTAGGTGACTGTTTACCAAAGAGCCTGAAATGTGGAGCCAATGGAGTCACCACCGACTTTGCACCTTGCAACCCGAACCTAGCAATAACCCGCTCAATGTAGCCTTTCTGACTCAAGAATATTCGTCGGTTCGTCCTCTCTCTTCTAATCTCCATACCCAGTATTTTCCTAGCAGCCCCCATATCCTTCATATGAAACTCTTTACCAAGTTGAGATTTCAACCTATCTATCTCCACCTTGCTTTTCGAAGCGATAAGCATATCATCCACATACAATAGAAGATAGATATAGTTACCTCCCCGAAGTTTTCGAATATAAACACAAAGTCATACTCACTTCTGGAGAAACCATGCTTTAGCATGAAGGAGTCAAATCGCTTGTACCACTGCCGAGGGGATTGCTTCAATCCATAAACTGATTTTCTCAAGCGACATCCCTGACGTTCCTTATCCTCAACCTTGTAGCCCTCAGGTTGATGCATATAGATTTCCTCATCCAAGTCTCCGTGCAAGAAGGCGATTTTGACATCGAGTTGTTCCAGCTCAAGGTCATGATGAGCAACAATACTCAATAGCACCCGAATGGAAGTGTGCTTGACCACCGGAGAAAAGATCTCATTGTATTCAACTCCCTCTCTTTGTGCAAACCCCTTTGCCACTAACCTCGCTTTGAATCTTGTACCATCGAGCTTGGTAGGATCCTCTTTCTTTTTGTACAACCACTTGCAACCAATAGCTTTCTTACCTATGGGCAATGGGACAACCTGCCATGTTTGGTTCTTGTGAAATGATTTCATCTCTTCTTCCATCGCTGCCAACCAACTCTCACTATTGTTGTTTAAAATAGCTTCCTTGAAAGTGGTAGGCTCATCATCCTCCACCGAGAGTGCATACTAAACCAAATTTGTCTGCCCATAGTGCCTCAAAGGCTCGTCTGACCCCAACTTCAGAACTTGCTTGTAAGTACGGCGTGGCCTAGAGGAAGCCAAGTTATCTGTAAGCTGCTGTTGTTGCTGTGCCTGTACATTCTCTTGCTGAACCGCCTCTTGTTCAAGCCCATCATCACTCTCATCTTGAGTGTCTGTTTGATACTCCTCTTGAACATGCCTAGAATCTGGTTGATCTCTAGGTTCTATGTCAAGAACTTGAGACATTGTAGTCTCAACATCATCACCACCGGGCACTGTAGCTTTCAACGAAGCTACCATGGAGTTCTCATCAAAAGTAACATCTCTGCTGATTATGAACTTAGAATCCTCTACACACCAAAGGCGATAGCCTTTAACACCTGCCGCATACCCCAAGAATATAGCCTTCTTGGCCCTCGCATCAAGCTTTTCTTCGTTGACATGATAGTAGGCTGTGCATCCGAATGTTCTGAGTTTCTCATAATCTGCATGTTCTCCTGTCAATACCCTGTAAGGTATATCTCCATCTAACCTTGAATGTGGAGACCGGCTCACAATGTAGCAAGCATTTGTAACCGACTCTGCCCACCATTCTCTGCCTATACCGGCATAGGATCACATACACATCGATTTCTCTCGAAATGTGCGATTCAGTCTTTCCGCGACCCCATTCTGTTGCGATGTATTTCTTACTATCCAGTGTCTCACAATGCCTTCCTTACCACAGAACTCCTTGAAAGCACCAACTGTATACTCAGTACCGTTATCAGATCGCAGTGTCTTCAATTTCTTTCCTGTTCTGTTTTCAACTATTGCTTTCCACTTCTTGAAAGTGTCGAATACCTCATTCTTATGCTTCAAAAAATAAATCCAAGCATATCTAGAATAATCATCAACAAATGTAACAGAATACCTGGAACCGCCTTTGGAAGTGACAGAAGCCGAACCCCATACATCCGTGTGCACATAGTCAAAAATGCCTCTGTTTCTATGTTTGCTTCGCTGGAACTGAACTCGGTGTGCTTTACCGTACACGCAATGCTCGCAAAAATCCATGCAAGGCTTCTTCAAGTTCTTTAGCAAACCTTTCTTGACTAGCAAATCTAGCCCCTTTTCAGACATATGCCCAAGCCTCCTATGCCATAGCCGAGTGCACTCACATGGGTCTCCACCACTTCCACTTGTTCCAACTGCTACATCTTCAATAACTGTAGTACCCTGAAGAGCATAGAGATTGCCTTCACGAATACCCTTCATCACAATCAAAGAACCACGAACAACCTTCTTTACTCCATTCCATGTTACAATCTTGCAACCACCGGAGTCTAAGGCACCAACAGATATAAGGTTCTTTCGCAAATCAGGAACATGTCTAACATCCATCAATGTTCTAACCACTCCATCATGCATCTTGATTCTAATTGAACCGAGTCCCACCGTTTTACAAGAATGGTTATTACCCATCAACACGGTTCCACCATCAGTGCTTCTATAGGTAGTAAACCACTTCCTATTTGGACACATATGGTAAGAGCATCCAGAGTCAAGAATCCACTTACCGGAGGTTTCTTCATCACAAGAGATGGTGTAGCACTCATCACTTTCCCCTCCTTCCGAGGCATAGCTTACCTCTTGCTTGACTTGCACCTTCCCATTGTTGTTGTTCTTACTGTTCTTCTTCCAACCCTTTTTGTTTGGACAATTCGCCTTGAAATGCCCAAGCTCGTCGCATTTGAAACAAGACCTTTCTGCAAGAGGTCTAGAACTCGATCTAGATTTTTCTCCCTTGCCATTTGGTCGCACATTACTTCTACCCCTTACAAGTAATCCTTGAGCTTGCTCCTTGTTACCAATGGTAGACATGCCACTAGTTGCAATCTTTCAAAGATCATCACTTAGAAGTGACGTTCTAGTGTCCTCCATCGCAAGTTTATCACCCACAAGCATCAATGTTTGTACTAGGTTCTCGTAAGACTTTGGCAATGAAAGAAGTAGTAGAAGTGCTTGATCCTCTTCATCAACTTCCACATCAATGTCCTTCAAATCCGATATGATCCTATCAAACTTGTTGACGTACTCCCGGATTGGTGTACCTTTATCCATCTTGCAAGTATACAATTTGGACTTCAAGTAGATCCGATTTGTTAGAGTCTTCGTCATGAAGTTCGCCTCCAACTTTGTCCACACCTCCGCCGCCGTTACCTCACAATCAACCAAGAAAGCAACATCTCTTTCAAGGCAAAGATTGATAGACGCTCGTGCCTCAAGATCTAGCTCTTCCCAATCCTCGTCCGACATATCAACGTGCTTCTTCTTCTTTCCCGCCAATGCCTTGTGCAACTTTTGAGAAATCAACAAATTTTTCATTTGCATTCTCCAATATGAAAAATCATTCTTCCCATTGAATTTCTCTATCTCATACTTCCCAATCTTCACCATTTCTCTAGTAGATATGATTTATTCACTTGTTTACCGAAAATAAACCACAAAAGTTCACTTGGAAATTTTCACAAACACCTTGTGCACAACAAAGTTCAAGCAACTCACCACAAAATCGAAGCTTAATCACCTTGATTAAGGAAGAAGCTCTGATACCAAATTGTTGGGAAAAACAACCTCCCAAGATTGCCCAAGAAATAAAGCTTGACAATGTGAAAAAAAATCCCAAACCACTTCAAGAACAAGAAAATGGGGAAGAAATGATTTTCAATGTATATTGGAAGAACAATGTATTGGATTACTTGAACAAGCCTCAAGTTAATTCCAAAGAAAGAAAAAATGGCTTTGAATTTATACCCAAGAAGAACACACTCTTACTTGTAAAATTCTATCCAAGCCCTCTCTATTTTTCTCTCTCAAAATCGTGTGTAAAATGAAGGGGAAAACACCAGCTATAAATAGCTGAGTCGGGCGCCATGGCGCCCATGAGTGGCGCCAAGATCGTTCAGAACCTTGGGCGCCATGGCGCCTGCATCACTGGACCATTTTTTCTCAATTTGGGCGCCATGGCGTCTGACTCTCTGCACCTCTTTCTCACAGATGTGTATATGGCATATTCTAGCATGGGCGCCATGGCGCCTGACTCCCTGCACCTCTTTCTCACAGATGTGTATATGGCATATTCTAGCAAATACCTTTAAACACTTTTAGACTGTGTTCTCATGAGGAGTTTTGTACTAGTTATGGGCATGGATGATATTCAAATTGGAAGTTTCAGTTCTCTAATGAGATTGTCACATTAACTTTTTATCAATTTGTAAGTTGTTCAACACATGCCGCAAATGGGACCCTATTCTCCCTATGTAAGCCAAAGAGGAGAAAACATATTTTAAAATCTTATAACATAACGATTTTCATGAGCACACGAAACAAAACAATGAAAGAGTGCTTTATCGCCAATTTCTCCTTTTCTTTAGTTTTCAACTTTCAGATCTCTGATAATAAGAAAGTGGTCACTTTGAAGAAGTAAATGGTAATAAAGTGTTCAAAAGTTATTACATATCTTTGATAATAATTCATTGAGTAGAATAAATACATATTTATTCTCTCAACAGGGAATGGAAACGAAGATATGAATTCCATGGATATAGAGATTGAAAAAATTGACAAAGCCGAGTTCAGAAAGAAAAAAATGCATTCTGCATTCAAGGAAGGGTCCTCAATAAGGCAAAAATCAAGAAGAGATTCTGCTGTCAACTGTACTAATCCTAGGCTTGTGAGCAAAAATGTACCACAGGTTGATATTCATGAAGAAAATTTTGACCTGAAGAACTCTGCTTCCTCGAGACGCTTGAAGGAGAACTTGCTCGTAGAAAAAGGTGATGATTTTGAATTTTTCATTTTATCTGGTCATTGTTGTTTGGATCTTGAATTGTTGTCTAGTAATTTTTGTCACATTAAAGTTTTAGTCAATATCACATATTTATGATAGAGATATTTCATTTTAAGAATTTGAAGCTTGTCAAAATTATTAGAACCAGTCCATTCCTTAATTTTCTACCGATCTCACAGGCTCTGTAGAAAAGATCCCCACGCCTACCGTCAGATGTAAACTGTCCCTTTTTGTTTCTCTCTTCAACTTATCAGATATCAGATATGTAAGACATTAGGCATAGAAGTAAAACATTAAACAGTTGGTTTTCCTAAATCTTAGTCTCATTGTAGGGCACAAAAATGGAGACATAAGTTCTGAGGAAATTGAGATCGAAAGAATTGATGAAGCTGAGTTCAGAAGAAAAGAACCTCTATCTCCATCCATGAGAAGCTTCTCTACTTGGCAAGGATATAATGAGGGAGATTCTGCGGACTATTGCAGCGAGAATGGTAGAGGTACGAGCAAAAAGATATCCTTATCTGATTACTATGAATCCTGTCCTTCTAAGGATGTTGGGAGAAATGATTACGATGAAGAAAAATTAGATTTTACTCAAAAATGTTGCTCCCTTTTTAACTAACTATTATTTTGTTTCTTATTTCGATTGGCATTGCATCAGTGTTTTGTTTTCAAATAATTAATGATACGGTGCAACTGTAGTTGATTTTGTGAGGAAACCATCTGGTTTGGTGTGTTTCCCACAGTGATTAAATTCTGGATGCCACTTGCAGATCTTTTGTGGTTTTAGCGATGTCTGCTTTCGTTTAAGCTTTTCTAATTTAAGTTGTTCAAAAGACTAGCATATAAGCGTTAATTTTGTGCAAATTGAACCAGAGAACTGATGCTTTTCGGTTATATTGCTTCTTCATGACATGTTTAACTAGCGTATTTTTTTACAGCATCTCCCTCTCCAAAGTGAGAGGATTTAGTGAATGAAACTTCTCTAGAAAAAGAGGCCAGGGCATATGGATTTGTATATGCCTTAAAGATTTTTGGCAACCAAACATGTCTCTTGAAGTAGGGAGCACCTCTGTCCTAACCATGGAATATATGTGAACTTTAATTTACAAAATCCTCTTACTCACTGATCCCAACTTTTACAGAATCAACCCGCCTTTTACTCTACACGAATATGTGGAGCTTGGCATGTCTCGAAGTATTGGAAAATGTTCTTTTGATGATATTATTACATGCATTCGATATTAGGTTAGATTCGCCTCTTTTATCTTTTCCCTATACTTGAGCCAAAAAGGATAAAACATTATAGAATCTTATAACAAGAGGATTTTTGCGAGAAAGGACAGCAAAAATGAAAGAGTGCTTTTCGTCAATTTTCTCCTTTTCTTTAGTTTTCAACTTTTAGATCTCTGATAATAAGGAATTAGTCATTTTGAAGAAATAAAATGGTAATGTTACGTTCAAAAGTGTCAATGATACGTATCTTTGATAATAATTCATGGAGCAGATTAAATATATATTTATATCTCTCACAGGTAACGAAAACGAAGATATAACTTCCATGGAAATTGAGATTGAGAAAATTGACAAAGCTGAGTTCAGAAATAAAAAACTGCATACTGCCTCAATAAAGCAAGAATCAAGAGGAGATTCTGCAGCCAACTTTACTAATCCTAGCCATGTGAGCAAAAATGTACCACAGGTTGATATGCATGAATCCTCTTTCTCACGGGATGCTGGCGACACAAGTATGCATGAAGAAAATTTTGACATGAACTCTGTTTCCTCAAGGCGCTTGAAGGAGAGCTTGATGGCAGAAAAAGGTGGTGATTTTGAATTTCTCAATTTATCTGGTCATTGTTGTTTGGATCTTGAATTGTTGCGTATACAAGATCCCGGCGCCCACTATTACATGTGCGTCTGAAGTAAACTGCCCCTTCTTTTTGGTCTCTATTCGACTTATGAAATATCAGATACGTAGGACAGTAGGCATAGAAGTAAGAAATTTTTTTGGCATGGAAGTTATATATATATATATATATATATATATATATATATTATTTTTTTATATTTTATTTTACTTTATTATTGCTACAGAGTTGCCAATTAAAAAGACGGTTTTCCTAAATTTTAGTGTATTCTTGTAGGGAACAACAATGAAGACACAAGTTCTGAGGAAATTGAGATTGAAAGAATTGATGAAGCTGAGTTCAGAAGAAATGAACTATCTTCATCCATGAGAAGCTTCTCTACTTGGCAAGGAAATAATGAAGTAGATTCTGTGACTTATTGCAGTGAAAATGCTAGAGGTACGAGCAAAAAAATCCTTATCTGATTACTATGAATCCTGTCCTTATAAGGATGTTGGAAAAATCGATTATGATGAAGAAAGTCTAGAACTGAAGAGCTCTGTTTCCTGATGATTAAATATTTCCGTTCATTAACTACAAATAGGTAGCCAGTGGCATAGTTTCTTATCGTGATTGCTTTTTAAAATTGTATTTAGATGCTTTGGGAGTTTTTAATTTTAAAATCATTTTTCATTCAGCATAAAGATATAAAAGGTTACATTCATTTTTTCACAATTTTTTCTCTCTGTCTGACAGAATGTGAGAACCAATCTGAATGTAAGGAAATTGATGAAAACAAAAACAAAAGAGCAGGTTCTGTCCAATGTATTACTGGTTCTGGCAGTGACAGCGGGAAAACTATAAGTTTATATGACAATGAAGTTGCTTCCTCCCAAAAAGATGAAATATCATCGCATGGCAGTGGACATCTGATTGCAAATCAGGCTCGATTGAAGAAGGGAACTCTTAAAAAGCAATCGAAAGTTGACAGTACCATTTTGGGTTCATCAGATCAATTGCTTTCTCCTAGTGACAGTGGATTTGAAAGTGTGAATTATGAATATAACTCAGTGGCGATTTCTGATTCTTCTGATGCTGTGGAGTCATCCAGCTCCTTCATGGAACATAATCTACAAGACAAAACGACTGAAGATCACAGTAATGATAAAGGATCTGTTGCAAAAGATACCTCAAAGAAGAGAGACGTTTCATATTGTGATGAAGAAAACCTACTCGTGGATGATGAGATGAGTGGCAACGAGGAAGGAATGCAGCCGGCAAAAAAGAAGCCGGTTACTTCAAAAAAGCATTATGATTTCATCAGAATTCTCTCAGATTCTGTACTGAATAAGGGATCATATTTTGACAAGGAAGAAAGCGATGAAGAAGCTAAGCAGGAAACGTCACCTCAATACACTCTTCCTCTGAAATTCAGATTCGAAGATGAGGTCTCAAAACCGACTGAACAATCAGAATTTGAAAAATTGGTGGAAGGTTTGTTTGCCGAAGCTGCCTTAGCTCTCACAGTGGAGGAAATGGGTTCCCTCCATTGCCATGAGGTAAGTCCAGCATTAAATGTGTATAACAGGAAAGTAAATTTTCCTGTATCTTTAGGGAAGTCGAAAATGACTTGCACTTTGTTATTGACTTTATCATTGTAGAACATCAATAAAATGCTTGAAAATTGAAACTTCTAAAGAACTATTTTCCATGGAAATGAACCGCTTTAAGTATTAGAGTTAGTTCCATACGTATCATTTTGAATCTGCATTTTCTCCAAAATATTTGGTAAAGAACCCGAAAGAGGATTTCTCTTCTTATCCAAATAGTACTTTAGACCTGAAACAGTATGTGGAAATGTAAAATAGAGAAATCTGCTTTCACTAGGTATGAAATTTTTAAGAAACAATTTGTTATCATATAGAAGCTACCTTTAGATTCCTTTGACTAGGTTATCAGGGGATTAGTATTTGACTATTATCAACTAACATTGCATTGTATTTAAATATAGAATTGTCACATTCTTTTCGTTTATTACTTTTTCCTTCAACTAGTAATTAAAACACTTTCTATTGCTTCAAGATTGGAAAAACTCTTAGTTTTGCAAATTCTATAAAATCCACCATTTTATAAAGAAAGTAAGTTTACAGGCTTAAACCAATGGCAATACCGTATAATGTACTGTATTGTCTCGAACTGAACTACATATTTCATACTTGTACATTTGTGATAAAAAATACAAATGTTTAGAAATAATTTTTACATATTTATATTTTCTTCATCTGCGTATTTCCCAAAAAAGCTTCTCTATTCTAGATTTTCTAGTTCATACACCTACTTTATAGGCACATTTTAATGACTTATTTTTGACCCAAAAAAGAGAGAAAAAATCAGTATCAAATTTCCAATATGAGTGTGCTAGAGTTTGTATTATCCAACTATTAGTTTATAACACAACACAATCCTGGAAGCATATACAAATGTCCATTAGTCTGGTATTTCATTATTCTAGCTAGACATACGTTGCTTGTTCGTGAATCAAGAACAAATGTTCATCAGCACGTCTGAGAAATCTGTGAAAAGACTAACCATTCTGATGATGGCCGACAGAATGATAAAAAAAATGCAAAAGCTTCTGATGCTAAAGAGACTCAACATGACAGATGCTCTAGAGGGGAGCACTGTTTGGACTTACAAGATGACATTGGTGTAAGATGCAGGTATTGTCCTTATGTGGATTGTGAAGCAGAAGAAGTAATGCCCCCATGGGTAAGTTTTTTGATTTGATTAGTCCTGCAATCCTCTTTCATTGAGTTATGAACTTGCTTGTGTGAAACTTTTTGGTTATACTCGTGCAGGTGGAGAAAATTTACCGAGAATCAGACAGGAAAAGATGTTCTGACGAAGAGCAGTTATATATGCCTGATGGACTTGATTTAGAATCATCAGTGGATAATGTTAGAGGTTTCATCAGTAAAGCTGAAGGATCCGTTTGGAATTTTAGTCCTTGTCTCAGAGAAGGCCTGTACAAACATCAGCAAGAAGGATTTGAGTTTTTGTGGAAGAACTTAGCTGGAAGCATTGATCTCACTGAACTGAGGACTTCTGATCCAAGTGGAGTGGGGGGATGCATCATATCTCATGCTCCAGGCACTGGAAAAACCCGTTTGGCTATTGTTTTCTTGGAGACATATTTAAAATTGTTTCCAAACTGCCGACCTATGATTATTGCTCCGGCCAGTATGCTCCTCACTTGGGAAGAAGAGTTCAGGAAATGGGAAGTTAATTTCCCATTCCATAACCTAGGCAGTCTTGAGTTCTCTGGGAAGGAAAACAAGCTGGCTCTCAAACATCTGCCCAAAAGAACATGCCGCGACAAGGATGCAGCTCGTTGGGTAAAACTATATTCATGGGATAAAAGGCCAAGTGTTTTGGGAATTAGCTACACTCTTTATGAAAAGCTGGCTGGAGATGAAATTGTGAAGGGGAAAGAGATGAAGAAGAGAAAGAGAAGCAATGTTGATGAGGAGTACGACCCTCTGAAGAAGATACTTCTTGAAAAGCCCGGATTGGTTATTCTAGATGAAGGGCACACTCCTCGCAATGATCGAAGTAGTATCTGGAATACGCTCCTGAAACTCAAGACGGAAAAGTGTGTCATTCTTTCTGGGACTCCTTTCCAGAACAACTTTGCAGAACTCTTCAACACATTGCGCCTAGTGAGACCAGCAATTGCTGATACAGTTGGAAAAGAGAGAGAGTTTGCAGAAATGATTACTTCCAGGGGGACGAAAATGAGGGGAAAATATAAAGGACCTCGCTCTAGTTCCGTTGGAGACCCATTTGACAATGCCTCTATAGAGAAACTTAAATCTGCAATAGCACCATTTGTTCACATACACAAAGGCGCCATTCTTCAGCAGAGTCTCCCTGGTTTGAGAGACTGTGTAATCCTTCTGAGACCCCCCACCATGCAAAAGATTCTACTTAAGAGGATAGAAGGTTTACCAAACACTTTTGAATTTGAACACAAGGTAGCATTGATCTCTGTGCATCCCTTCCTTTTCTTACGATCCCATTCAACAGAAAAAGAAAAGTTTGAAATTGACCAGGATGCATTAGAGGCTTCTAGGCTAAATCCGAATGAAGGTGTGAAAACAAGATTTCTCATGGAACTTGTCCGCCTCAGCATTGCCAATAATGAAAAGGTGTTGGTATTTAGCCAGTACATTCAGCCTCTAGAATTAATAAAGGACCAGCTAATGGCGATTTTCGATTGGGTGGATGGAAAGCAAGTTTTCATGATGCAAGGAAAGCTAGAACAGAAGCAGAGGCAGATCTGGATAAATTTATTCAACGATCCACAGAGTGAAGTAAAGGTAATGCTTGCCTCAACAAAGTGCTGTTCTGAGGGTATAAATTTAATTGGGGCTTCAAGGATAGTTCTCCTGGATGTCGTATGGAATCCATCTGTGGAAAGGCAAGCTATAAGCCGTGCATATAGGCTTGGCCAGAAGAAAGTAGTCTACACATACCATCTTATGACATCTGGGACAACTGAGGGGGATAAGTACTGTAGGCAAGCTCAAAAGGACCGTTTATCTGAGCTAGTGTTCTCTTCTTCATCGATTGAAAATGAGAATAAAAACAAACCTGCTGCTGGAATTGAAGATACTATCCTAGAAGAGATGGTCCATCATGCCAAGCTAAAGGATATGTTCGAAAAAATTATCAACCAGCCAAAAGATACAAATTTAATTGAAACTTTTGGTCTAACATCCTGAGGGAAAACAAGTAATTCCCGGTATCCTATCTCAAGGTTTCTTCGAAGCTTTTCTAAAATCACATTACATTTTCAATGGCGAGATGCAGGCTCAGTACACTCGTCAGATTGGAAGTCCTTTGCTAGGTTCTATTAAATTTCGTCTTGGCCATTGACTTTTATCATCTCTTCTATCTGAAATGCAGGAAATGACTTTGGCAGGGGTGCGACTTTCTACTTAATATGCTTTAGCCAGGATGCGGCCTCAGATATGAATCGAGAAAGTTATTCTCTTCTAAATTGATAAGGACCTAATAGATATTACACATGCACATAGCAGTGATATTAACTGTACATGATAATCAGGAAATGAAATTCATTAATTTCAGCAAGCAATTGAAAAGGGAAAAAAAATCAGAAACACATTTTATTTACAAATGCCTAGAAAATGAATATTTATTAGGTGTATAAGACATTTTTCAGCTGTCTTCTATTTCCTTGCAGGAGCAAAAGCCAACAGTCTTTCATCTTTATGATGCAAGTGCAGATCATTAGTTTTGAACCTTCTAGTTTGCCTTTTCAGAAGTTCACAATTACAGATGACTTGGTGGTTTTCTTTTACAGTTGTAATGTAATGATGAACTTTCACAGCATCATTTTTCAAATTCTAAGGTTGATTTTATCAGTAGAATTTATGCTTCTCATAGGATTTGTTGTGAAATTGCTCGTGACTTGAACAAATTCTCTTTTTAATTTGCCTCGTAGTATGTTGAATAAGAATATGTGATAATATATTTGCATTTTCGGCATAGCGACGCTAAATTTGATCTTCATCTCCCCTGCTATGATCATAGAAGTCCGAAAATGTGACATCCTTACCTAAAAGTTCGGTCGCCAGTTGAAATCTTGCATGAATTCACCCTTTGGTTGTGATGGAAGATTACTATAGTTTTTATAATTTCGACCAAAAATAGAAAATACATTCTTTCAAGATTGTAGGGTACATGTATTATGGCGACATTGGCGAGAGAAAATGTTGCAGAACACATCACTTTAGTTGTCCATTCAATCCCTTACTTTCAATTATCGTCCGTATCAGTTACACATTTGTATTTTTCCTAAAATTCTTCTGTTATTATAATTTAAAAATTCTTTGAATATATTACTTTTATATAAAAGCCAAATAAATTTGGGTTTTTAGATTAATTTCTCACATGTATCTGAATGCTACCAGTGGCTTCACCCAATTAAAGTTCTTAAAAAATTTAGGAACTAATATGTAAGATTCTAGGACTTTGCTTGGTGTAAATAATTTTTTGTACATCAAGGCATCCTCCACTCACATGGGGTGGGGTCCACTATAATAAAATATGCGGGTGGACCCCATCTCATATGAATGGAGGATACTTTGATGTACAAAAAATTATGTACAAGTAGATTTATCCAAGATTCTAACACCTGAAAGGTGTTATTTTACATGGTAAACTGTTCACTTATTTAGCGGAAATTGAACATTGCAACTCATGCTCTTATTAAAATTACATTTTTATCAGGAATTTTGTTTAGTTTGATTGTCGTCCAAATATTATGGAAACATCTTTTTGAAAAATGTAGGGGTCACGTAAATGAAAAGTCATTTTCTGACCTGATTTATTTAATTGAATATATCGAGTGTAATTTATGTCTCTCCCGATGCACACATGCACATATTTGTATCCATATTACGTGCTTTCACTATGTAATCTTATTGTCTAAACTATTTTCACGACAAATATGGATTGTGACTCTTTGTGAGCATCAGTGTACAGGCAACTCTAATTTCCTGATCTATTGGAACACATTCTACGATTAACCTTTTTCATGATGCTCTAGAGGCGGAGCGGTGGGGGACGGTTAAGGCTGGGGTTCAACCTTTAATTTCACGCCAAATACAATGTCGCCAGGTACGTAATTCCGCGTCTTCATCAAATTACGTTGGTTTACTGTCCATCAGTGTAAATGTTTTGGTATGTAAAACTTGGTTAGAATGCAACAGTCACCACGTGACGAGGCAATGGAGGCTCTGTCTTCATTGATCGCCAAATGCAGTCGTGCCGATAAGAGCAGCAACGGCGACAGCTTTGATTTATTATTTGATTATATTGAGGTATCTATATCTAGTTGATAAAGTCAAATTTAAATTTGATGAAGAGTGGTGTAAATTTTTCTAGATTACATTCGATTTTAATGAAATGTAGATTCTGGAATTAGAGGAGCCAATTAAAAAAATGAAGATTATTCATGTGGCAGGCCCCAAAGGAAAGGTAATTCTTGGTTGTCAAAGGTTCATAATTAGAAAGGGGAATGGTATACTTTAGGAATTAGAATTGATTTTCAAACTTTATTTTTTGTTGGTAATGGGTTTACCATTGAATATGTTCCTATTTTGGTTTCATGAAGGGATCAACTTGCAGCTTTACTGAGTCCATATTGCGTAATTGTTGTTTTCATACAGCGCTTTTCACGTCTCCTAACCTCATTGATGTTTGAGAAAGGTTCTGATTGGATGGTGTGAGGTGGATCACTCCATCCACATATCACAAGTTAATTGGTTTAGAGAGATTGTGCTGGTTTAAGAGTATTTTGGACCATAGATTAAATCCAATAGATGGATTTAGTTTTGTGGTCAATTCTTCTTTTATAGTCATGTCACATTTGTTGTAACTTAAAATTAAGTTCCTTTCAACAATTAACCCATTTAATTTTCAGTTTTTATTTATTTAATAACACAATTAAAACATCATAATTCATGTTATAACCTCTATTTTAATGACTGGGGGTTGATTTTACCTATAAAAGGAGGTGGATTTCTCATTGTTTTAAAACAACAAAATCAAATACAATATACTCTCTAGTCTTTTCACACATCTCCCTTTTCATACTACTTTCTAGTCATTTTATATTATCTTCTATTCTTCTTTTATAAAATTTTGGTAATTGATAAAGGCTCGTTCAATTTTCTCCCTATGGTTGTGCCCATAGAAGGAGCGCCACATGAGTTTTATCTTGGAGCCGTGTAGTGCCGAAAGAACCCGCACGAAGGAGAGGTAACACGACTTTAGGACAGCGGTCTCGACGTAACTCCCAATGCTTGATTTTTTCTTGTTTTATATTATTGTTGAATTTACGTTTATATCAATTAATTGATTATGCTAATTTCTAAATAAATCTACATACAAATCACTCAAATTTTCCCAACAATCTAAAGTCGTTTTTCCTATGATTTGTGTATAAATGAGACCATGATGTTTGAGTTGCATAAACTGCTATTGAAAACTAACAGATTAACACTTCATTTCTAGGAGAAGAACTAAATAGTTGCAGTCGGGATATAGATTAAAATTTCTAAATACCTTTGAATTTAGAGTTTTAAATAGTCCTAGTAACCATTTATTTCCCTCTCATTGAGATGCATGAAAAGATGAATGCATGAATGCCTGACTGCTTGGTTTTAGACTGGCATACCAAACCTTTCATATTTGTGTATGTTTCGGTGCAACTTAAAGAAAGTGCACTCACTGCTTATCTTGATTTTCCTTTTTGTTTCTTCTTGAAGGAAAGACGTGATCTTTCTAGATTATAAACGGGAATTGTGAAAGGAATGCATGGGGAGAAATTGAAAGTTCTTAATTTGGGAATCTGCACCATTTATCAAATTTTCGCTGCAATTTTGATTTAAAGTGGGTTTTAATGTTCCTATTACATGTATTTTTTTTTCTTTCTCGTGTGAACCAATTATAGGCTTGCCTCGCTTTGACTTTTAAGGAGACAAGCAAAACACTGTGAAGAAACTTGAATAATATTAATAGAAGGTGATAATTTTCTTTGTTGTTATCAAAATTTCTCATGTGTCAAATGAATTTTGAAATCAGGGTTAATATCCCAAGGATTTTCTATTAAATGATTTTCATATATTCTTAATGTTTGGATATGATGACAGTCAATAATTTCATAAAGGGTTCATGGGTTTACATGAAATTTTATGTTGTCTCAGAATTTTAATATTATTATTTTTTGAATTTCTTCAAAATAAAAATGACTGAACTAGAGTGTAATGGAGCAAAACTAATTTATTGGTTCAAATATTCAAGCCGTTTTGAATGTAGGAATGTAAATTGTTACCGTACAAGAGTTTAAGACATGCAGGTGAAATACAAGAGTATAATGGATTTATCTGTTCGAACGTATTACTAAAATCAATATTAAACTTTCGTTTGTTTATCTTACTAAACTTATATATATGTGATATTGATATTTTGAAAAAAAATTCTTAGATGACTTTGCAGATATGCAAATGGACAAGTGAAGAAGAAAAACTTTACAAATTAATGGTACTGATTTATTGTCCAAGAAGGACATGAATATATGTAGTCCGAGATGGACATACATAAATCATCGAGGGGGATTGGTTTAAACCCATAAGGGAGTCACCTCCAGGAGTAAACCAACATTTGTGATGGGAGATCCAATGAAGAATGTTCAATGTGGTAGAAACAACCCGTACTGCGTGACTCGTAATAGCACTATATTATTTGAGTTCATCCCTTAGTGATAGTGCTAATAATAATATGATGTTAGGAAGGGTTTAACCCTGAATGAATATCGATGCGAGAATTCTTGCGAGGTGTGGGTCCACACACCTTTGGAGGACTCACCTATGTAAGAGTTGCCATGAGGCCGTGGCTATGGGATTGGGTTCTTCCCTAGAACTCTTTACTAGAATCAAGATTAGAGCGTATGGCCATTAAAAGCGCTATCCGCTATAAACTAGAGCCTAAATCGGTACTGTGCGTGGAACAATTGAAATTTGACTAAAGGGACCTAATTCAAGACTTAGTCCATTATGGCCCCTTCAAATGGAAATTGTTATCACTAAATGAGGTTCAAGTCCAAAAGACACCTACACCTATTGCACAGTATTATGTTGCCACTATTATATATTTTAATTATTTTGAAAGTTTAAAACTTGTGGGGGATTGTTGTAACTTAAAATTAAGTTTTAACATTTCAACAATTAACCCATTTAATTTTCAGTTTTTATTTATTTAATAACACAATTAAAACATCATAATTCATGTTATATCCTCTATTTTAATGACTTAATTGTTGGGGTTGATTTTACCTATAAAAGGAGATGGATTTCTCATTGTTTTAAAACAAAAAAATCAAATACAATATACTCTATAATTTTTTCATGCATTTCTCTTTTCATATTACTCTCTAGTCATTTTATATTTTTTCTATTCTTCTTTTATAAAATTTTGGTAATTGATAAAGGCTCGTTCAATTTTCTCCCTATGGTCGTGCCCATAGAAGGAGAGCCACATGAGTTTTATCTTGAAATCGTGTAGTGCCGAAAGAACCTGCCCGAAGGGGAGGCAATATACTCTCTAGTCTTTTCATACTACTCTTTAGTCATTTTATATTATCTTCTATTCTTCTTTTATAAAATTTTGGCAATTGATAAAGACTCGTTCAATTTTCTTCCTATGGTCGTGTCCATAGAAGAAGAGCCACATGAGTTTTATCTTGGAGCCGTGTAGTGTCGAAAGAACCAGCACAAAGGGAAGGCAACACAACTTTAGGACAGCGTTCTCGACGTAACTCCCAATGCTTGATTTTCTAACCTTCTTCTTGTTTTATATTATTATTGAATTTACTTTTATATCATTTAATTGATTATGCTAATTTTTAAATAAATCTACATACAAATCACTCAATTTTTCCCAACAACATTCACTCTTAATCATAGTACAATATTTGAATTTGAATTTAAGTGGTTTTTGACTCTATAATTACAAGACTCCTTCATTTATTTTCATTTGGACTCGTCATAACAAAAGAGAGTATAAAGAGGTAACCAAGTGGGAAAAGTTCATATCTCCCACAAAATTCTTGGTGGCTTCCGGCGGATCTTTTTCTTGGTATATCTATTGTTATTCCCTTGGACGACAGTGTATGATCCGGTGTGACACAAATCTGAGCTCAATAGCATGGGACACTCCTTTGGCGGTGTTGAAATAGCTTAGGGTCAATTGGTTCGGTTTTCACACTTTGAGAGTTTATGTTTTCATATTGTAGTTGTAATAATCATTTATACACTACATTTTAAACTCTATAGATGGGTAAGTTGTAAGTTTTTCCCTCGTCTGCTAGAGATTTGGAACTTTTTACGTTTAGCATATTAGATATGAATTTTGGTCATTTTGTTTCTTGTCTTATTCTTTGAGGGATTTCCAATTTTGCAAATTCCATCCATCTGATTGACATGTTTCTGTTGTTCACCATGATGTTTCAGAGTAGACATTTGCAAAGAGAAGTTTATGGCACATTTCTGGTGGTGTTGGGATAGATTGATGGCATGTACAGCTGTATTTATTTATATGAATTGATTTTCTATACCTTGAAATTCATACATCCTCAATCTTCTACATTATATCTTCTCATGACCGTGATTGAACCTTGTGGTACCCACATTACAGGATCTCCGTTCATCAGGGCCGGCCTTGACCCAAGGCAACCAAGGTCATTGCTTAGGGCTTCCAACTTGAAAGGGCCTCAAAAGAAAAATTAAAACTCCGAGACCTAACAAAATATTTCCTTTTTTTTGGGGTTGGGTTTCTAGCCCTTTAAAATACAACAACAATATTGATCTAAATAAGATGCCCAAATTACTTGGGTCATTAACTTACATTCTTGTTTAAGAAATAAAATGGATCTATAATTAAACTATAGCCTAGTGATATATTTTGTTGTATTTTTCTATATACCAAGATGGCAAGATCTACCCCAATAAAAAAAAAAAAATGAATCAATGCATTAAAAAAATTAAAGAAATTTTCCCTATAATGTTTTCCTAACCTTAATACTAAAAAAAAAAAAATATTATATATATATTTATATATATAGAAATTGAATTTGATTTATCATAATTGATATTAAAGAGACTTCTATGCTTACTAAAAAAATTATATTTAAGGGCCTCGTAACGATTTGTTGTCTAGGGTCTCAAAAATTTCAGGGCCGGCCCTGCCGTTCATTACTCGTCCTTTGAAAGATAAGCCAACGATTGGCATACAGAAACATGGGGAGGAAATGGAGTTCAGGAAGGGTTAGATGCACTTCTCTCATCGAGGAAGTCTAGGGGGGAAGTAATCCAATAAGGAAATAAATTTTGTAGGAAGTTGGAGAAAAGCATTTTATCTATGAACTCTCTTGGTTTCTTAAATTGGTCTTCTTAGTTGTTTACCTCTTCTACCTCCCCAAGGAAGGGAGGAAAATATCGGCTATTACTTACTCAGCCTCTTGCCTTCATTACAACTCGGTTACTGAGGGGCTAAGGATGAATGTAAAAAAGTCTAACTTGTATATAGTGGGAGTTCGTGGACAAGAGTTGGAGGATATTCTTGTACTTACTTATATGGCCAAGGGATCTATGCCTTTCCATTACTTGGGCATCCCATTTGCCCGGTATACTTGTACATGATTTTTTTATCAATATATTACACATTTACTGATTGAAAAAAAATGCAGTTACTAATGTAACGGATCTACTTCCTATAAGCTAAGTACTCTACAATTAAATAAATACTTTCTTCTATTAGAGAAGAAAAATGTTAAATTCTTATTCATTGTAATGTTGAATCCTGTCTAATACTGCGCATCAAAAGTGCACTTAAGGTACAAAAGTGCAGCACGTGATGTATGAAGAAGAGACCAGGATGTGGTAGAACCACTACGATGAAGAATTGAAGTGTTTAACGAAGTTCTGGTTTGCAAAGTGATGCATTGCTGCAATTGGAATCTATTGTTTTTATAACCGTAGTACCTCACCTTTTAGCCTATTTGGCCTCGGTTTCTTCAAATTTTGTTGCACTTTTTTATATTGCAATTTGGCTCTTAGGATGGTAAAGAATCAGATGTTCGAATGTATAATATTGTGTATTTAACATGTCCTAGTGACAGGTTCTCTGCATCTAGTAGGTGATGTGTTGAGATTAATCAAGAAGTAAGGTGCTATCAATAAACTGGATTTCCTATATTTGCATCCGGTTCTTTCCGCGACAGCTCTGGTATTCGTGACAACAAATTATTCAGATTCCATCCATTTCAACAAAGTTTTTACCATTTTCGTTAAAGGTACTTAACGATGCTTCATTTTTTAAATTCATTTATTTCACTTTTATGAGCATTGGAGCACTGTACAGACTTGTTTCCATGGCCTTCAACGTATACCTTGGGATTTCATTTTTGGAACTTTATAGTATTATTCAGTAAAAAAAATAATATGTTAAAATTCCAGTCAAACTATATGTTAATAGATCTGCATTTCAATACATTAGTTTATTTATCCATTATAACAAAATATCTTTAGTAAGTTAAAACAGAAACAATGATAATATTAAAATTTAATAGAACTTTAAATGAGTCTGCGTTTGCTTACAAACGTCACACTGCGAATATATTCACTATGTCTATATAGACACATCCTTTTTTCTTTAGGTGGGTACCAACTTACGATAGTAGCTAGTAGCTACAACAACATCAACTTGAACTTATGTGAAAATCGAGTTGTCTCCAATAAAATTGGTGAGAAAATATGCAATCGAGCTATATCTTTTGCATGAAAAGAAGCCTTAAAAGAGTGAATTGCTTCTTTTACGTTTATCTAGATGTGTCATGAATGTTGAAGACGATTTATTTAATATTGGTATTATTTGGTAATTACCTACTGATGAACCTTGATGAAGAAACATGAATATTAAAAAGAAAATCATGAAGATAGGTATACAATAATTATATTTCATAAAAATCTACAAGCTTGATCATAAATAAATTATATTAAGAAAATTCATGAATACATACCAAATGTATTAGATCCAAAATGCATGTAATCATGTATATATGCAAGATTCGTGCCAGGGGCGGCCCTAAGGATGTACAGGTGATGCGATCACACAGGGCCCAAAATTATAGGGGCACAACCATTATTATTATAGCAAGAACCTGAACATTCTTCACTAAACAAAGCAGCACAATGAACCGAAAGGTAGGCCATAACTTTGAAATCCCACCAGGCTCTAGTCATCTCTTACAGCAATTGGGATGATAATTTCAGTCTCTATCTACGAAAGATCCTAGTTCCAGTTCAGAGCAGATGAATTGGAAATGAGCGAGGCACTAGAATCCTCCAACAAATCGGCATTGGCATTATCACAATTTTATCCATGGCAACTGCAGGATCAGTAGAAAGAAATAGATTAAGAATGCAGAAAGAATTTATACCAGGAGGAAGAGTTGGAAAATTGTCCATGAGTGTATTTTGGTTAGCTCCTCGATATATAGTTATTGGCATAGGGGACGGAATTACCAACGTTCTTCAGTTACACATTATTTCTGTTGCTAGTTTGTCGGTTAATTTATGTCTTCTGGTTGAAAGCGACGGCAAAATGATAAATCTAATAACTCTTAGGAGATTGAACTTGAATATGTAAAGCATGATTGAAAATAAAACTAATACAAAATCCAGATTTCAGGATTATTCATTTTTACATAAACATGTATGTTTCTTCATCATCTAGGAGTTCAAGCACATTACTATTTGATACTATTCATATATTTTTCTTGAGAAGAGCATATTCAATAATGTTGAGTTGAGTAATCGTCTCTGCAGAATTACTGGGTGTTTCAACGAAGTTAGGCCAAAGGAAGGCGCCCATTGCAAACTTTCTCTTGTAGGACAAATCACCATTTGCTGATAAGCCATATTCGGCCAAAACCCGATCGAGCTTCCATTCGGGCATGTCCTCATAGTCCTTTCGAGTGTACCTAGGGTAGTGTAGAGGCACTCGGAAGAAACCACTAGCTCTTTCATTGCTCCCCATTAATGGTTTTCAAATTTCTCACTATGTTCTATGTTAAATTAATTGAGTTAGGTTTCCCTTTTATATATCAATTAATGGGGAGGCTCAACCATGCGTGTTAAATGTCACAAGGACGGGATGGTCTACCTTCCCTTGTATCAGCATGTGATATGTCATGTTAATTACTTTGGCTAAGACTCTCTTAGAAGTTAAAATCGTACGTAATTTTCACGTAAGTTAATCCAGGACAGTACACCTATTTTCATATGAACTTTTTCCTGTATCTCAAGGTCAAACAATGATAACTCACCCCGAAATTTTGCATCCGTGAGATGAGTTTGCACTCCAACTTTTAGTTGCATGCATAGCCCCCGTTTATCAGTGATTTTTCATCAAAAAAATTTTGATTTTCTGACCATTATTTCATTATTCCAGCCGTTATTATTTACTTCTTCATTCACAGATGGCCTCCACTTTTCTCCCTAACGGTCAAAAAATCAATTCTTAAAATTACTGCTGAACATGCTCTATACTTAGTGTTTGTTTGGTAAGAATTTTGTTAATTGATTTTTTGACTGTTAGAAATAAATTAAGTCTTACTAATGTGAGAAAAATTCAAAAATGACTATTGAAATAGTGAAATAATAGTCAAAAGATTGATTTTAATTGGATTAAAATCTCTACCAAACATGCTCATGTTGACGATTTCAATCACGACCCAAATAAACAAATTTAAATAGATTGGAGACTCACATTCAGTTAAGGGTAGGAGTCCTCTTCCTCCCTTGTGTTGCAGGTCAAACTAGTTTTACGTCTCTCTCTTTAAACGTGACTTTTATAGTTGTCGCTAAAAGTAACTTTAAAATGGGTTTAATAGGTTATTATACGAATTTTTTTCAAAAACCTATAAAGAAAATTATGGACATTTACATTCCTCAGAGGCTATGCTTGAGCCCATTTTTACCCAATAATGAATTTTTTAATATTGATCTTTCTGAAAAATGTATAGTTAAAAAATATGAAAAATTTTTATGTTTAAGTATAAAATTATTTTATTGAGAGAATATGTGGTTAAAAAATGAATTTGGAGGAAATTTTATTTTTAGATAATATAGCTCAAACGTGATAGAATAAGAGAAGATGGGATTTGTGGGGGTGGTGGTGATTGGGTAGGGACTAAGAGGTAACTCAGGTAAGTGGGATTGTTGGAGATGAAAGAACTTTTTATTTTTATTTTTTTTAATTGGGTCTCATTTGCACTTTTTTTAAAAAAATTGGGGTTTATAAATACAATTAATTCTTTATTTTTTTCTTTTCCTTTTTTTTAAAAAATTTTAAAATGGGGATAAAGTCGTCATTTTACAAGATTTTATTAAGAAAAATGATGAAAACGTCGTATTCCGTAAAGTTTGGATGATTTAGGGAGATTTTGCGCCAAAACAAAATGTTAAGAGGTATTATGCAAAATAGGCACATATGAGGGGTTATTTTGTCAACCTTTTAAAATTTGGCCCCTATTTATTGCACTTAACAAGTAAGCTAACATAACTGGATAGTAGAAATAATTCACTAGATTTGGGCAATCTAGAGAGATTTTACACCAAATTGAAAGGTAAGGGGTATTTAAAAGTAGAGGCAAGTACCAGTCAATTACCCTAATATAATTGAAGATAGAATGTGACAAAACACCAACCTTTTGAAGTTGCGTAACAGTATAGCTATCGTCTTCCATCGTCCTTTCCTAGCTAGCAGAATTTATTAAGCAGAGTCTAATCTGAGTTAAATGTTTCAATGACCACTGAATTTAGGTTTATATTTTTAATTGGTCATTAAACTTAGGTCAATATCTTTGATTGCTCACTGAAATTTAAAATATCGAGTTTTAGCCACTGAACTTTGAAAAATATTGTACATTACTCATTAAATTTTAAAAAATACTGTACATTACTCACTGTGAACTCGATATTTTTCAAAATTCAACAATTATGTAAGTGATAACGTACAGTATATTCCAAAATTTAGTGACCAAAACTCGATATTTTAAATTTTAGTGAGCAATCGAAAACATGAACATAAGTTCAGTAGGCAATAGAAAACATTGACACAAGTTCAATGACCAAAATTCGACATTTTAAACTTTGGTGACAAATCAAAAATATAGAGTTAAGTTCAGTGGCTAATGAGCAATAGAAGACATTAACATACGTTCATTAACCAAAATTTGACATTTTAAAACAAATAAAAAATATAGACTTAATTTTAGTGACCATTGGAACAATTAACTCGTCTAATCTCATAACTGCAACTACTTTATTTCTAATCTCATAACTGCAACTACTTTATTTCCAATTTCCCTTCTCAAGTCTCATCAATTCATGAAAAACAAAAATGATTGTGGGAATTACTATCACATTACATTCTTATTTTACTCCCTCGATCGTCAAAACCGTAAGAACTAAGAACAACGTTTAAGTCACTTCGATGTCACAGTTCCTTCACTCTCAAGCTATATTCCACGTGCATAATTCTACTTAAAATACGAATCTACAGCAATTTCATAGAATTAAACTGGAGTATGAAGGAAATGGGCAATGGAGGGGCAGCAGATCTGTTCAAATCCTCCACTTTAGTGAAAATCTCAGGATTTATACTTGTATCCGTGGTTTTCTTCTACCTGGGCAAGCATTTTTCCGATGGCTCTTCACAGCAACTTGTTTTTTTCTCCTCCCACCGAAACCCAGATCACAATGAAATTACTGGGCCACCGTCCTCGGTTGCACTCTCCCCGAATCACAATAAATTCTTTAATATCACTGCCCTTATAAATGACACCTCTTCAGTCCAAAAGAATGAAAACAAAGAACAGGAAAGCATAGGATCAGTTTCACCACCACCGAATCAGCCGCCGCCACCGCCGGCTCCTGCGGTGAAAAGGATGGGGGTGGTGGATGAGAATGGGGTGATGGCGGAGGATTTTGAGGTGGGGGAGTTTGATACGGAGGTGGTGGAGAATTGGGGGAAGGCAAATGATACTGCGAATTTGGAGAGTCATGGCAAAGGGGGTAAGGTTAGAGTTAGGGTTAACAAGTTTCCATTGTGTCCGGAGAGTATGAGGGAGTACATTCCCTGTTTGGACAACGAGGAGGCAATTAAGAAGTTGAAATCTACAGAGAAAGGGGAAAATTTTGAGCGGCATTGTCCTGAAAAAGGCAAGGAATTGAATTGCTTGGTCCCCTCTCCGAAAGGATATCAAACGCCCATTCCATGGCCCCAAAGCCGCGATGAGGTAACTTGCGAGTATATGATCTGGTTTTCGTGTTTCTTATTGTGCTGTGTGATGGATGATGCGGTGAATTTGAATAAATTTTACTATTATTTTGTGGGAATGCATATAAAATGTTATTTCTTGAATGAGTTTGAACTGACACTTATTAACAGAAATGGGAATGAATATCTGCTTTTTCTGCGAAAAATATGATTGAGTCGTGTTATTTGTGGGCTAGTTTTTAAATTAGGATTTTATTTGAACCAGTTTAGGGAAGTTTTGTCGCTTTTCCATGTAATAACATGCAGGTTTGGTTTAGCAACGTTCCTCATGCACGTTTAGCTGAGGAGAAAGGGGGTCAAAATTGGATCACCATAGACAAGGACAAGTTCAAGTTTCCTGGAGGTGGCACACAATTTATACATGGGGCAGATCAGTATCTGGATCAGATTGAGAAGGTGCTCCTGTTGATTACATAAACTGCTAATATTGTAATGTAAAGAATGGGCTTTGACTCTTTTAATATTCATATTTGTGTAGATGATCCCTGAAATTGCATTTGGCCACCATACCCGAGTAACGTTGGATGTTGGTTGTGGTGTGGCAAGTTTTGGTGCCTATCTATTGTCACGGAATGTTACCACCTTATCTGTAGCTCCAAAAGACGTTCATGAGAACCAAATTCAATTTGCACTTGAGCGTGGTGTGCCTGCAATGGTGGCGGCTTTTGCAACACGAAGATTGTTGTATCCAAGTCAAGCATTTGACTTGGTACATTGTTCAAGATGTAGAATCAATTGGACTCGAGATGGTTTGTTATCCTATCTTGTATGCTATTTTATGGTTTGATCTTAATATTATTGTTTGTTAGAGAGCTTCAGTGATTTCTACATGATCTTTACATATTGTACTTCAGTTATTATTCTCTATTTTACAAAATTGAATTAATGTGCAACTGAAGTTTTTGTTAGTTTTTGTATGGTTCTCCAATGAGATTTGGTTCATGGAGCTTTTTTGCTCCCAGAAATCAAAGAATTTCTGGAGAATCCAAATAAGTCTATCCATCCTTTGAACTGGCAACTGAGATCATAGTAAATGGTTGTAATCCATAAAGCTGTAAATTAAGTTGACCATTTAGCTATACATTATGTGTCTTTACCATGTTCGTAATTTTGGATCTTAATTTTGAAGACTGCATTGGATTCTAGTTATAGTGGAGTTCGGTTATCTTTCATGAAAAATCCAAGGTTTAAGGTTTGAAATAGTTGTTTCAATTCATATTTCAACATCTTGTTGCACTGGACGGGAGGGAAGGATATTATTATTTGAAGATGTCTTCATGTTTATCCATCATCTTTGCCATATGATATTGCTTGTCCTATTTTCTATCATTATTTATTTAAACCTTCCCTGCTAATTTTGTACTCTTTTTGGTTCAGTGAGAGATCAACTGCTTTAAATGCTCTTTACTGATGTTAAACTCTCATTTGTTCCTTTCTCTTTTGATGTGCCATGTCAAAGACGGGATCTTGCTACTTGAGGTCAATAGGCTTCTCCGTGCCGGGGGATATTTTGCTTGGGCAGCACAGCCTGTTTATAAGCATGAAGCAATTCTCGAAGAGCAATGGGAAGGTAAAAGAACATTGAAATTGTGCATAACTCGGAAACCCTTTTAGCAACAGTTTATCTATGAGAATCTAACAGTTCATCTTTTTGGCTTGTCATCCATGAAAAAGAGCTTAGTTCATGAGCTTTCGGTAACTCACCCTATTTCATATAAATTTCTTTAAATTTAATGTAATATTTTGAAGTTACCATATTCTAACTAATTGAGCAAGGGCTTCCAGATTATGTATTGCATAATTGAACTTTAGCAGATGGCACCCCTCCTAGTAGCAAGAGCATTTTGTGATAAATCAATTTCTTTTGACTGTTTCCAGAAATGGTCAAGCTTACCAGTCGTCTTTGTTGGAAGCTTGTCAAGAAGGAGGGATACATTGCTATATGGCAGAAGCCCTTAAACAATAGCTGCTATTTAAGCCGCGAGGAAGGAACCAAACCACAGTTGTGTGATCCAGATGACGATCCAGACGGTGTTTGGTATATATTTTATTGTTTTCTGGTTTTATCTTTTTGTAAGTGATCAGCAGATTAACATAGGATGTAATGATTTCTAGTACAATTGTTTCATTGTCTTCATGCAATCATATACATTTCTAGCATGTAATGATTGTAGAATCGGTAGATTCTTTGAAAGATTTAGCAAATTATGGTTGGTCAGCTATATATTCTTCTGTTATGAAGCTGTACAAATGAGAGTGCAAAGCAGATTGTGTATTGACATTTGTTCTCTGAGCATTAGAATTAACTTAAAAGCTTGTTTAGGCAGAGATTTTTTTCAAGGGACATATGAGTAATAAATGTGAGACATCAAAATGACTTTCTATTCAGAAAATTCTTCCACAAATTATTGACAATTATTGTTTCTTAATTTGCATGACATAAATGTGAAAAGAACTACAAGTGGTAAACGTGTTGTTTGAGTGATTTCCTAGCGAAGAATCACACTAGAAGATAATGGGGATTTGTCAATTATGAATGTATAATAATTATTTAAAATTTGTAAAATGTTGCTCATGAATGTAAAGGCCTTCCATTTTATGCCGGTGATTGAATTTTGCATCCAGCTGAGTTGGGTTACTAGAGCTCTCTTCGTATTTTTCTGTCCTTGATACACAGAAATTTTCTTAGTTCTTACGTTGACAGATTCTGTTGCTGATTATGTTAGGTATGTTGATTTAAAGGCATGTATAACACGATTGCCTGAGGAAGGATATGGCTCGAATATTACCACCTGGCCTGCACGGTTGCATAATCCTCCATATAGGCTCCAGAGCATACAGATTGATGCTTACATGTCAAGGAATGAGCTTTTCAGGGCAGAATCAATATATTGGAAGGAAATAATTGAAAGTTATGTACGCGCGTTACATTGGAAGAAGTTCAAACTTAGAAATGTGTTGGATATGAGAGCTGGCTTTGGAGGGTACTTGCTTTTTTGCTTCCTATTTTGTTATGCATCTATATATTTTACATTGGACGTCACTAAGCCTTTGTTTGGCAACCAATTTATATATCAATTTATTAATTCAGTCCAAGACAAACATTAATTTAAATCACACATTCATAACTACTACTCATTTATTATTTACAATTTGTAGGACTCACTGCTGTTCCTCTTTTTTTAAATTGATTTTTATATTTGCCAAACAAGTGTAAAAGTATTTTTTTAAATTTCTTGTTCAATCATTTGACTCTAAACAATTGATTGCAGATTTGCAGCAGCACTGATTGAAAATCAATTGGATTGCTGGGTTCTCAACGTTGTCCCTGTTAGTGGACCCAATACGTTGCCCGTCATATATGACCGTGGTCTTATTGGAGTTACACATGACTGGTATGAATTCGACATACATTTGTATGATATTCTTATAGTTATTGTTTCATGTTTGTTCCATGTATTGCATAATACATGCTCATTTTCTTCCTTACATAGTCTAACCCTTGCTCACCCCTACTCCAAAATTAAATAATAAAGAAACGCCACAAACTTTTAGGGAGGATGAGATGAGTAATGCTATTTAGCACCACTGGTATTTAACACCAGTCTAGGTGATCGTCTGGCACACCTTAAAATGTTAATACATTTTTTCTTTCTTTTTCAATCACACATTTTTTAATAAAATAATATACACGTAAGTTGAACACTTTTTCTACTTTTTTAACCACATTTTTTTCAAAAAACACTATTCTAAAGATTAAAATTACAAATAATGAGGGCCGAACCGGGGCTAGGTGGCAGCACTAGCGACATTAAATTATAAGTTTAATTAAATTATCACACAATTTCACCTTTACTTGAACATATCACATAATGCCGCATATCTGGTGCTAGATAGCATTATTTGGATAGATACTATGATTCTCGGACTCGAGTATGGGTACATATCTAAGTGTCGGATATTTTATTTTCTAAAATATAGGATACGGGGATATGGCTAAAAATAGTCTAAATTTTGGACACGAGTATTTATACGACTTTCAAATTTCAATTTTTTTATTAATTCAAGATGTTATTTTGAATAGATGAAAATCAATTGTTCACAAGGAATGAAATAGTATTGAATAAGGGGTTAAGACGAATAAAATAGGATTTTGGGATTTAATTTTCAATTATGAGAAGTTAATTACTAAATATTACATAAAATAGAAAATGAGGGATTTGATTGCAATTTAAATTTAGCGGAGCATTAAGTAATATTATATAGAACCTATTTTCAATTTATACAAAAAAAACCTTAAACCACTGATACATAAATTAAAAAAAAGGGAAAGAAAAAAAAGAAGGGAAAATCTAGTGCCGTCGCCTTTCTCCACCCTTTCGGTGGTGGTGCTAGGTTTATAGAGAATAAAAACGGAAAGAAAAGGAAAAGAAATAAAGGAAAGAAGAAGTGAAAAACGGCGAAGTATCCGGTTATCACTTGGAGGATCGGATACATATCCCATGCCAATACCATGTCGTGTCGTGTCCGACATGGGTACTCCAACCATTTCGAAGAGTCCAAGTATCAGAGGATAGATATATACTTGGAAATGGACCTTGATGTCTCAAACCTTCTCACAATTTGTATCACAAAATGTTCATTAATTGTATTTGGTGGTTTCTGGCATGGATTAGTGTTTGCTGCTGTTAAGCAAATGAATTATCGTTAGATGTTTGTATATTTACTTGTATTCCACTTTACAGGTGTGAACCGTTTGACACATACCCAAGAACCTATGACCTTCTGCACGCTGCTGGCCTGTTCTCCATTGAACAAAAAAGGTACTCTAGTTCTTTAATCTTTATTTGCTACATAGACACTACTTTCATTTCAAATTGGCAATATCGACTCAAGGAATTTCAGTTTTAAAAGTTGGCGTTAACAACTAAATTTCATATAATTACTGACGGACAAAAAATAGTATTTTTTGACATTTCAATTGAAAGCATTTGATATGCAGAAGTTCATGGATGATCTTGTTTCAGTAGTCCATTTTGTTTTAGTTGTATACAGATGTTTTGTACACAAGAATTGTTTCTGTTTCTTTACCTCAGATGCAATATCTCAACCATCATGCTCGAAATGGATCGGATTTTAAGGCCCGGTGGACGTGTATACATTCGTGATTCTCTTGCTGTTATGGATGAACTTGAAGAGATCGCGACAGCCATGGGTTGGCATGTATCAATTCGAGACACATCTGAGGGCCCTCATGCCAGTTATAGGATATTGACAGGCGATAAACGCCTCCTTCAAGCATGAAATTAAAAGATACTTGGGTCCAAATCATACCTTCCATTTGTACTTGCAAGAAAGAAATGGTGTCGCTTGTATAGCTGTTAAAATGAAATGACATTTACAGATATCTCAAGAATGGTAAAACCCGATACCTAGTTACTGCTTTACAATTATCGGATGGGTATAAGTTAGCATTCAGTGGTCTAACAATTCATAGAATTTTTATATTTTGCTGTTTCTGCTCTTGTTTTCTTTTATATTTGGGGAGTCATTCACTTGTGTAATTGTAAAATATGTGCAAGCTCCAGTTTTCAAAGTCATTCTGCGGAATATTATTGAACATTTTGTCGCTAATTCTTGACGCTGATGCATTATTGATTCTTACTTAGTTCCTTTATGTTTATTAAATANTTGAATATTCTTATTTAATTGATATGTTATAATAAATGTATATGAACAAGCTTGATGAACGTACGTGAGGCCTAGGCAAAATTAAGGCGTAAGGTCCTGTTTGAGCCTTATTATTTTCTCATTAAAATGAAAAATATGATCGTTATTCATCACATCAAATCGTTATATTTGACTTTTTATCTTTTATATGAGGCTCATAACGGCTATATTTTTCATTCTTATTTTTACAATAATGTGGTTCAAACGGGAGCTAAAAAAGTATAAAAAGTTGTGGTTAAGTGATTTTCGAGTTGTGTCTAAACGAGTTTTTTAGAGCAATGACTGTGTCCTTCGTTGAGGAAAGGTCCATGTATTTTCCGACCTGTTCTTCGTTCCCAATTACATTTCCTCCTCAAACCTTCATTTTATTCCATCTCTACAGTTTCGAAAAGGAATTTGTTTGTAAATTTTTTCATAATTAAATTCTGCTCCTAGCTCCGCCTTCCCATTATGTATTTCCCAGGAGTATGAACATATAAAATTTTGGTGCGGATTTGAAATGCTGAAGAACGTGAACATGGGTGGGACCTTGGCCAAAAATGATATTAATTAGGCTAAACAATAAAAAACAATAATATTTCCACCCAACTTTTTGGGAATTTCTAAATGGAGATAGTTGACCCACCTGCTGGCAAGACCTTGTCCATGCGTCTACTTGGATAAAAAATATGCTAAGAAAAGAAATTTAGACTGGAGTTCTTAAACCACTCTCTTCTGTTTCTTCCTCCACCCCATCAAAGACACGGAGAAATGGTTGGTAACTACAGCAACTAAATGAGACTTCCAAAGGGATCGCATTGATCCCAAGTCTATATTCAAAACTGAGTTTTGAATGAATGAATCTGGATCATGCTATCCCTTTGGATGCCTCCTTGGGTAGCTTCAGACTTTGAGATCTGCTATCGCTTTATGACTGCAAATTTTGGATGCTTTACACTTCGATATGGGATGCACAGATTGGAGATATATATCATTCCAGTAAGTTCATCACTTCAGTGACAATCTTCATGTGTGTGTGTGTATACACTGCCTTTTTTTAATCATACATGAAAATCGAATTGCAAGTTTCAATCTTTCTTCAAAACTGACTTCTCTGCTCTTGCATTTTATCTTAGCTTTTTCCATTCTTTTGTGTGTGTGTGTAGAACTTTTAATCAGACGCTATCAAGCTTAAGATCAGAGCTCTAATATTGCAGAATTGTTCTAGTTATAAATTAGGGGGAGAAAACTAACTTAATCAAGAATCTTCTATTTCTGTTCAAGTGAGAGAAAAAAAAAAAAGGTTGATTTTGAAACTAATAATCAAAACCACTTTTGGAAGCTCTTTAATCCTTCTACTGATAATTAACAAAGGATGGCAATGCCTGCATATCCAAGATTTTGCTTGCAAAAAGACTTGGATATGCAAGTATATATATGTGTGTGTGTGTGTATATAAAAGGCAGATTCTAATGAGATGTTAACTCTTTTTCTTCGTTTCAATCTCATTAAACAATCCAATAGTACTGTATAGAAGCATAAAATCAAAACTTTCATATTTCACTTTTAGCACAAGCCATGAGAGTTCTAATTCTCCTTGTTGATATTCCCCAATCGTCACAAATAATAAAATAATAATAATAATAAAAAAATAAATAAATATATATATATATATATATATATATATATATATATATTTGTTGAAAATCACATGGTCTAAACTCTAAAGACTTTATTTAGAATCCAAAGCAGAGAAAATTGATATTTAACTGTGTTCTTTATCCTACTTTGAGTGATCTAAAGGCAAAGGAATCAGATACATGTGATTAGATCTTATAAAAAAATCCCACATGTTGCAACAATTCAGGCTGAACGAAAATGTTGATTACTGCAATTGTTTTCGTATTAATTAAGTTAGTTATCCTGTCGATATAATATTCTTTAGTTTGACTAATTCAATCGGTAACATTCCAGTTCGGTTATTTATCAACTTTTCACGTCAACTTTTTCGATAGACAAATTAATTTAAATGGTGGAAATGAGAAACTCCGAAATAATATTCAAGTTTAGTGATCAACTTGAGGTAAAAATTAACTGTTAATTTAAATTAAAATGAAGTTTCGTGACCAACATAAAATTTGTGCTGAATAGACATTAATTATACAAGATACTTGGAATCAACTAGTAGTGTGTATGAATAAGATGAAAATCTTTCACGTGGCAATTCGAAATTTCAGAAACTTACGAGCCAAACACAATGTTGATAAGAAAAAGGACGAGGGCATGTTCTTTTTTTGGGGTAAAAAGTTCAGTTTCGAAGGAAAATATTGATCAAGATTCTAACCCACATATTTTGTAGGATAAAAATAGGTATTAACCACTTATTCGCTACTTATTTCTTCCACATTATAATTAAAAAAAAAAAAGAATCTAATTTTGAAGTTAAACATACAAAATATGTTTTAGAAGTGTACAAACGTGCTTCACATTGAGTCATGAATAGAATTTGGCAAGAAAATAATATAAAAATTTCAGCAGAGGTTTTTGACCTGACCAGCAAGGTAACATATCACCTCTCTCCCAACAAAACAACAAGATGGAGGTTGCAATCGAAAGCACTCTGATGCTCAAGTCCATAATCTAGGTATAGGAGAGATACAAAAGAAGAAGAAAAGCAAAAGTAAAGCTTATATTTATCGAGTGAGAATATCAATTTGCCAAGTATGATTATTCATAAGCAAATATATCAAAATGAGGTTTGTCGGATGGTTGACATGTGGTCTCACCCCAATGATTCACTAGTCAAACTCTATGATGTCACATTATCACATCCTAACATCATAGGTTAGATCTGTAACCTCACATGTTGTCTTAGACGTGAAAAATGGAATTTGACTTATAATCGTCATTACAAAAAATGTTATATCAATCATGTCTCGCTAGCTCTATATTGTCAGCATGTAACTTGCACAAAGTATCCTAATATGATCACAAGCACCTCGGACATTGGGGGCCCATCTAATACAACTAAGAGTTGAGTCTCTTCTGATCGAATCTAAGGTGGGAAGTGATTTGTTTGCAATGAGTTGTGTAGCCTCGGAGACAGTAGTCGACAAAACGATGGATCATGACCTCATCGCCTTGGAGAAAAGATGGTAGAGGCAAAACCCTCCAATTCAGTAGCCTCGAAAAATAGTGCTTGCATTGCATTTTGCTTAGATGGTAGTTACGTGACCTGCCAAGTAGACATAGGCGTAACAGGGATTATCATAAGAACTAGAACAACGGAAGATAAATAATTGAAGAAAAAAAAAATTGGTTTGTGTTTGTATTTTCTAACTTTATCTTACTTTATCCTCCTCAAGGTTGCAATATTGTATACCATACATTAGCTCACATAACATAGAACACCTCATTCTTCTATTTTTTTTCTATTTTTTGCAAAGAACAACCTAAAGCGACCAACCAACAAAACCTTGAAGGGATTAATAAAAGCGTATATTATAAAATCTTAAACTTTATGGTCATTTCAAAATTCTTTCATGGTTATATTGAAGGTATTCCTCGTGAAATATAATACGTACAATTTATTATTACTATACATAAAGTAATTTTTGTGGTCATTTTACTTGGATAATAAATGGATTTTTTGAAACATCTATGATGGGAATTTTGGACATTAAATTGTACGAATTGTTTGTTGAAAGGGGAAATATGTAGGCCAAATGTCGGGGTATTGGGCTACATAAGTATGTAGAGGACCAAAGGACACACAGACTGTCCAATAAAATGCAATTAATAAAAGTCAGCACAAAAATATGGTCCTAAATTCTACCTCTCCCTCTCTCAGCCCTTGGTCCAAACTGTTACTACTCGTCACACGTGACTCAACGTGGTCGATTCACTGTAGTCCTTGGCCCAATTAAGCCAATGCACGTGGTATGGCGGCCAAGGCCCCTAAGCCTGTGGAACACAACCAAAGTTAACGCCTCAATTGAGGCTCGACATCTTGAAACCCAAAGTGCACTGGCCAAGGGTTTTTTTATAAAGGTTCTTAAAAAGCTTTAACAAATTTTGAAAAAAGTTAGGAGATTAAAATTAATCGTTGACTTTGACCTCAACTTTTTAATATAAAAAGCCAAAGTCAGTCGTTGTATTATGTTTCTAATCTTTTCATTATTATTTCACAATTACCTCCACACCTCTCTTGTTTATAAAGATATATTTAGAAAAAAAAGTAATATTTTTCAAGGGAGAGGACGTATCCTTTCAACTGAGGAGGAGTCCACTTACTTATTAACCAGTAAGGGCATCTTGATATTATTTAAAAAGAAACTAATTGTTACAAATATTTCATTTTAGTCGGTGTAACATTACAAGAGTGGGATCATTATATTTTGTAATTAATATATATAAAATTTATGCAATTCTTTTTCTTTTAATATTTATGTCTTAATTATCTTTCATGTATGATGACATTATGTTAGAGAAGATATCGTGATAATTGTGTGAATGGAACATTATGAAAGGCTCCCGTACTGTTTGGATGTAGAGATGCTTAAATGTCAAACCAACTTGACATCGAGCTATTGTCGTAAAAGTATGTCGGGTAGTATCATTAATCCTTGAAAACATAAGGAGTTCCCACAAACAAATGAATTTGTGGACCATCTAGATTTACTTCTCTGTTACTATGGGTTCCCACCAAAATATGTTGGGGTGTTCTGGCAACAAAGAATCCCCAATTTCACAAGGTTGTAATTTTGTGGGGGTCTACCAATGTAAAAGGCAGAAATGAAAAAAGTCAAATGCAAATCGAAATAAAATACGTCTTTATGATTCAACTTAAACATGTCTTGATAGTTCAAACTGACAAAAATTGAATATTCAACAGAAGAATAAGTTGCTTTTTAAAAAATTTGGATATATCTTACGTGTTTATTTAGACTTTTAAA